TGTGCAAAACTCAACGAAGCCTTCTATGTAATATTAAACCTAAAAAACACAATTCGAGGAGATGCACTGCTACAAGTATATTACGCTTTAGTGTACTCTGCACTTAGTTATAACGTCATCGTCTGGGGTGGCTCTTGTTATTCTGACCGTGTTTTTATTTTACAAAAAAGAATCCTGCGACTTATATTTAATTTAATCCCTACCCAAACGTGTCGGGATATTTTTCGCGAACACAAAATTTTAACATTTTTTTCTGTGTACCTGTATACTTGTCTTGTACATATTTTTAGGGATAGGAGTAAATTCGTGACCCACAGTGACATACACAATCACAACACTAGATCAAAGGGTAAAATTTGCTTAAATAAACCAAATCATACATTTTTTAAGAGATCTCCGGTGTACAATGCTTGCCGTTACTTTAATGCACTGCCTAGGTCATATAATGTAAACTGTATACCGAAGTTTAAACAAAAAATTAAATCTATGTTGATACATAACGCGTTCTATAACGAAAAATTGATTTAATTCTACATAAATAATTATTATCTACTATGGAAATAATAAAGATAGCGAATCCTATACGAAAAATCAAGTTCTAATCTCAGAAAAAGTTCTTTATTGATTTATCCATAAATCGCATGTCGGATTTATGATTCTATCACTCAAATCATTTTAGATTGGCGGATTTAGTTATTAAAAATTCTTAGGCAATAAATTACCATTATGCATATATCCTGTTTATTTAGGTTCTTTATAATAATAATAATAATAATGTTTATTTAGTAAAAAACAATTTCACATTGTAATACATCGTCACAAACAATACATTTACGAGGTGGTCTTCACAAAATCAAAAAATTCTTTTTAGTGAATTTTTATGGATTAAACATTTTGCTAGTAGTGGTCAATTTGTTGTTTTCTTCCACCTCCTCACTCCTGACAGGCTATTTCGAAAAATGCAAGGTTAATATCTTCTACGTGCAACGATCGTGTTACTCACAATCTCTATAACTATCCCGATTTCATTAGGAAAAAGTGGAATCCTTGATTTAATACAGGTATCTAAACAATGAACGAACTTATGATCTTGATGGTCAAACCAAGTATTCACTATGTTGATCTGCATTATACAACCATAGTTCGGAAAAACTCACGGCTGTCCAAATTTGCTTACAAACCGGTCAAACTGCTAGTTTTTAAATTGGTGACCCGCTGTGTATATAAGTAAGCATATGGAGCTTCTGTACATCTCGATTCCTTTGACAACATGGTCATTGGTCAAGTTGTCAAAGGAATCGAGATGTACAGAAGCTCCATATGCATGGTCATTGGTCAAGTTGAGAAATGAGCAGCACATCTTCAAAAATGTCATATTTTGCCAATTGAACTTTATACTGACGGACTCAGTACGAGACATTTCACTACAAATCCGACAAAACAATGCGACTTTCCCCTACGTTTTGAGCCGATTTTAAGCTTTTGCTCGGCACTAAACAATGCGCGTAGTCCAGCGTTTGGTGCCTTCAAAAAGCACTACACCTAAAAAATGCGTTTTTTTGTACCGTTCAGGTACTGCACCCTAAATGGCTTATCTGCCTCTTTCTAGATCAGCTGCGGGTTTTTTCATGCCATATCCTACTAAAAATATAGAGTGGAGAGTTCTGGGCGATACCTGTTAGTAGCTCAGATCACCTTTCGGTGAATTTTACAATAATTGATGGGAACAGGCGTACCCACCTATTGCTGTACAATTAATTATTCTTTTCTATCCCAAAATAACTTATAGCTTTGTAGTACATTCCATAAAAATAAGCCAGTGGAAATTTTGCTCTTGCACGAACGTAATACCTTAGTGAAGACTATTTGATCACGTTTTTTCGCCTAACGAACGAAATAATCATCTTTTTTGTATTTCCATTTGTATGGCCCCTCGACCATAACCGTAACTTTATATTAAATGCCCATCAGTAGAACCTAGAAAAGAACCTTGTAATTTGTAGGGCATAAAATTGCTACAAAGGATAAAATATTTTATTCCTTTACGTCCAAAAGACAGGAGGAAAGTAAAGTGAGATAGGATCATTAAATCATGCGGCGTAGAACTGACACCTGCAAATGGAAAAACCCGATTTAATTGGAGGTAACTGATAACACCAAATAATCTTGAATTCGGCTTGTTTATTCTAGCAGTTATTTCGCGGTCCCGGTTGTGTGTGTATATCATAACGTTTATGTTGTTTGAACTTACATTCTGTGGGGTGGATTATGGTGGTGAATGGAAGATGCAGTCGTGCAGAGAAAGAGTTAAGCAGGTAGTTTTCGGTAAATAAATTCTCATTTGCTTTGAAATCGCGCTAATTTTGAAATTGCGAAGCAAGGTCGAAACAAATTACATTCCGTATTCCACATAAAAAATGCGTGTCCAGGTGACGTTTCGAAAATTCGCGCTCTGGGTTATTTTGTTACAAGTTATTGATTGTTTTGGCAAAAAAATCGTTTGTTTCTCAAATGCAATATAGGCATTACAAAATTGATAAAATTGGCGAGGCTAACTTCACATTGCCCGATCCACATGCGATTTTTTAAAATTGAATTCTTGCATTTCATGCCTTTAGTTATTGTTTGTTCTGCTATCGTCAACGTTTGTTTCGCGAAATCCGCTTTACAGTAAAATAAAATGTGGACAGGCTACTTCACACCAGGCCGATCCAGAATAAATGTTTAATTACTTTGATGCTAAAAGGTGGAAAATCGGTAGTTATTGATTGTTATGACAATGTTTTGCAAAGTGATAAGTATTAAAGAATTCACAAAATCACATTGCGATTTTTCAAAATTAAGTAAGATTCTTTCGTTTTAGGTATTTAGATATTGCTTGTTTTGCTTTAATCAACGTCTATGTTGTGAAATGCAATTTGCAGTAGGTAATAGTTATACAGGGTGATTCCTATAGTACCTGCCACCGTTTGGGAGCGTGTAGGTGGTGCGTAGGGGAGTATTTTGATATAGGACACTTGGGGCCGGAAATCTAAAATAAGGGTGCCAGAGCCAAATTTACCTTCTGGAATTTCGCGCCTGTAGGTAGGCAACCCAACCGGCGGCGGTGCACACGGAGCGATCTCAGGCGGCGATGTGTGGCTGACACTTGATCAGAATTTTGTTTAAACCCACGAAATCCCGTCTGCAACGACGCGTATCAAGTGAATAAACACTATGGCAATAGTATAATAATAGTTGGCTAGATGTAGGAAGTGCATTGAGAACCAACGGTGGCCACGTTGAACACTTGTAAACGTTATTGCTTTTGACTGTCGTTTTCCCTCCTTCCCTCCCATGTCGCTTCCTCGCGCTAACTCGCTCTGCATCGCCCCGCGCGAAACGTCGGTCGGTTGGGTTGCCTACATACAGGCGTGAAATTCCAGAAGATAAATTTGGTTCTGGCGCCCTTATTTTAGATTTCCGACCCCAAGTGTCCTATATCAAAATACTCCCCTAGGCACCCCCTATACGCTCCCAAACGGTGGCAGGTACTATAGGAATCACCCTGTATAAGCACTTCGAATAAAGGAAAATCAAACGCCAATTTCAAAATTTGGCTTTGCGCATGCGCAGTGCCAACTTTTTTATTTATGGAAGAATTTAAATGAAATGTGATACATAGGCACTTGGAATAAAGGAAAATCTAGCGCTAGTTTCAAAATTTTATTTTGCGAATGCGCAGTGCCAACTTTTTTATCTATGGAACTATTTAAGTGAAATTTGATACTTAGGCGCTTGGAACAAAGGAAAATCTAACATTAGTTTAAAATTTAGGTTTGCGCATGCGCAGTTCCAACTTTCTTATTTAGAAAAGCATTGAAATGAAATTCTTCGCATAAACTGAAATTGAAGTAGCACGTCAACAATGGATTGCCCATGTGCAACGCTATCTTTCATATTTGTGGGCGGATTTTTACGATTTTAACAGAAGTTGCATCTTACAAATGGGAAATGAATGCAAGTGGAAATGCGCTTTATGTAAATCGTTTACGATTACTTTTTAACTTGTTTTGCAATATTGTTGAATTTCTGGGAAAATTGATAACTGATTTCAGCCTATTTCATGTAACTTAAACTACAAGTTAGGTTTAGGTTAGGTTATAAATTAAAATCTCTGATTAAAAACAAGCCGAATTCAGCCTACATTCGGCTATGTTGTTGATACAAATGTATAAGATTGTTTTTGTGTGGTCTTGATTCCACATTTTCATATAGTATACAGTGATATTCATATAGAAGTAGACATGGGAATTTCCTATGTCTATTTTTACATGATAAAAAACTTCTAAAGGACGCCTAACTTTATGCAACCAAAATAACTACCTACAACAAATGAAGATCTGCCTGTCATATTAATTAATTTGAATATTATCGCTTTTACTTCCGTATTCTAATTTTCGTTCGTGTGCGTGTATTCAAATTAAAGAAAAAGTTATATTTCCAATTGGTATAGTGCCGATAACAGTTAAAGGAGCTTTAAAGATTTATTTTCCTCAAAAATAGAACAAAACCTATTTCTTCAGTTTATGATGTCAAATTGAATGTAAAAATTCACAGTGAGATTTTTCTTCCAAATTCATGAAAAATTTGATATATAAACGTAGATATATGGATAAATTGCATGTACTTTTGTGCCTATAAATCTGTAGCGTACTTTAAAGGTTATGTATTACACTCTACTAGAACTACAAAGGAGCATTTGGACTAAAAACAGCTAACTTCATACCATTATCATAATCAATAATCCATTCGATTTCAATATTGAAAATACGTTTACAATGTGGGATTCAGACTACCAAATTTAATCAATATTGTTAACTTCAAAGTTTTAATCTTACTTAGTAACTAATATTGTTTGCTAAACAATGGTCACCAGACTTAAGCTGAATATATAATTTAAGATGGTGTACTACGGTTTTTACGGATCACTTGGTATCTCAAACTTGAAACACACCACAAGTGACTAACTTCAGTGGAATTTACATGTCATTGTCTTAACTGTTTCTTTATTTTGGTATTAAAAATTGTTTATTCTTGTTTTGTATTAAATTAGTATGGAATTGCAAAGTTTACAAACTGAAAAGATTTGTCGAACTTGTCTAGTAGAAGACGCAAATATGCGTTCAGTTTTTACTACAGAAAGCAATAGTATAGGTGAAGAAACCAAACTATACGAAATGCTCATGTCTTGTGCTTCAGTACAGGTCATTTGAATTACTTTCTTGTATATCACGTTCTCACTGTCTTATGCATAGGTGGTCGAAGGCGATGGATTACCCGGACAGGTGTGTTTACAGTGTGTTCATTACATTACGAGAGCATTTTCCTTTAAACAATTATGTGAAAGATCAGATTCTACTTTACGCGACATCCTTGGAAAGCCTTCACTAAGTACATATATCTCCGATTTTAAAGACGATATGCCAATAGTTGGAAGTTTTCACACTTTACAAATGGTGGAAGAAAAAAACGATGGCACGGATATTAAACCTGGCTGTATTGAAAATGATCTTCTACTTCCACGTAGGTGATTCCCCTGTTTTGAAATGCGACTGCGCTTAATAAGTTATTAGTTATAGATAATTCGGAAAACGATGACAATTTGTTAGATACATCAATTCTTGATATGGATATTAAAGCGGATATAAAAGAGACGAAGAAAAAAAAATTAAAGGATGACACAGAGCAACCGATTTACGCATGCGGGGAATGCACGGCTTGCTTCACAAGTTCGATAGATTTAAAAGTAGTTTTATTTAGAAGTGAAGTCGTAATGATAATTTTGGATGTTTATAGATTCACGGTCGTAGTCATCCGAAAACTACGAGGCATTTTTGTAAAATTTGTAGTCAAGGTTTTGCTAGTGCTAGTACGTTATGCAGGCACATGAAGGTACGTACCAAACTGAAATTGATGCCCAGTTAATTAGCAGAGCAGTATCGGGAGAACAGAAATCGACAATTAAATGCTAATTTCAAATTTATTGCTCCTTTATGTTAAGAGTTCTGTCAGTTATGTGTTTTGTAGAACAATTCTAAAAACACTAGAAAACAATACCTAATTACTGATTAATTAAAAATTAAAGTAGACTAATTAATTACCACTTACATGCTACTTTAGGGCTTCATTTGAATATTGAATGCTACCGCTGTTTGAGAGCATATTCTATAAGAATCAGTTGTTTAAAATGGCGTAAGGTATTTCGAAAGATGAACACACATACAAAAAATGCGTATGACATTTTTTCAAAGACGTGTGTGGAAGTGAGTAAAGATGCACATATACTGTAACACCTTGTACACATGAGTACTTCTATACATAAATATTATTATGTATGATGGTGATGGTGGTACATAAAGAATTAAGAAGGTATTTCTAATTTCTAAACATATGCAAGTGTACTTAAACACTGCTATATCACAACTCCTTTTGTATTCTTTTAAGGTATTCGTCTTAAGGTCGTGTAATTATATACAGGGTGTTCCTAAATATGATTCAGTATTATATTATTATTATAAACATATAAACCACAAGATACAATTTTAAATGCAAACTGTCAAAAACTCTAAATTAATAAAAACAAGTTATTATCCAAATAAATTAAACAAATATAGCAAACGAGCTCCTGGGTATGGCTATAGCATGTGCAGAACCAAATTTTAAACCTGATGTTAGTTTTGCTTTTATTTTATATGTATGAAATTTCATTTAATTGCTTCCATAAATAAGAAAGTTAGCACTGTGCATGCGCAAAACCAAATTTGGAAACTGGCGTTAAATTTGCTTTTATTCCAAGTGGCTATGTATCAAATTTCATTTAAATCCCTTCATAAATAAGAAAGTTGGCACTGCGCATGGCGCATGCACCAAACGAAATTTTTGAAACTGGCGTTAAATTTGGTTTTATTCCAAGTGGATATGTATGAAATTTCATTTAAATACCTTCATAAATCAGAAAGTTTGCATTTCGGTCTGTATATGGTCGAGATGCGCAAAGGGCACTGTGAATGCCTATCGATTAGGCTCAACTTTTGGAATTGTGTTTTACATAGCTAAAGCTATGCGCATATTGAATTTCATGCAATTCGGTTCATAACTAAGGGAGATGTCAAAAGGGCCTACTTTATTTTTTGGTCTACATTGACAATTCACGAACTCCGATCTACAAATTTGATAAAGAATCTACGTGCAAAATTCCATCGTAATTGGTCCATTCGTTTATGAGTTATCGTGCTAACGGACGGACGGACAGACACAGCAAAATTATAAACTCGATAGGAGCTCGTTAATAAATCCAGGGCCTTCTAGACTATTTTCAAAATTATACTCACACTGTGTACATTTTAAATCCTTTAACATCTTGGAGGCCATGAAATGATTTTTAAGTTGGTTTATTTTAGACAACTACCAAAAATTGATTTTTATTATTTTTCTCGATAATGGTCACAAGAAAAAAAATTATGAGACCAAAAAGTTTCTAAACAAGTTAGAAAATCAAATTCTTGTTTCACAATCTACCAGCGGCGCACCGAAAAAAAGTTACAGGGTAGAAAATGGAACATGACCTCTGAAAAAACAACATCCTGTAGATTCTCACTACCATTGACATGGGCAATGATGTAAGCCCTTCAACATAACATAATTATTTCAAATTTGAGCCAAATATCTTAAAAACTGCATACAGTACTCCCCGGATTGACTACAAATCAAATACTGATTTAATTACAGTGATCCGATATTTGTGAAATTTTGCTTATGGACATAATTTTATATTCTAAACACCTTTTCTTAATAACAGTTGTGCCGTTTATTGACCGAAATGACACTTTATCTGAATTTTTTCTCATTTGTCACGGTCATCTTGGATTTTAAAAAGTAAAAATGTGCTTGAAATTCTTTTTAACTCAAATAGGCCAGGATCCCAAAACATGAAAACGAGATTCAAACATTTTTGCTCAATTACACGTACAGTGAAGTCAGTACGGGAACAAACTGTATAATTATATGAAGAAAAAATTTAAGAATCTTCAAATTTGAATACATTAATAATTTAATTAATAATTAATAATATTGCCTTTAATTATCCCCAAAAACAAAACAGAAAGAAAAAAAATTAAAAATTAAACAAACTACAATACAAAAAATAAAATACTTTCCTTAGAACCTTCCAATAAACCCGCGATGAAATACAAAGCCTAGGTTCCTATGTTAAATTTGGATTTGATGTTCGAGCAGCAATTTGCGCAACTTAAGCTTGAATTATTTAAGCGATAGCAACTTAAGGTTTGCAGGAAGATTATTATAGACCTTTGTGATCTTATATGAAAACGATCTTTTGAAAAATTGCGTTCTATGCATAGGTGGCGTTAGTAGTCCTTTAAACCTTAAATTGAGTTTATGTACATCAGTTCTAAAGGAGATTATCCGATATAGGTACATACGTCGGTGACTTGGTAACTATGATGTTGTGAATTGTAGATCAGTAACGAAGGGTTTCTGCACCTATAAACTTTAGTCATAAAATAAGTCAAAGAATTAGCCCCTTCCGTATTCACATCATATTTAGAAACACTCTGTATATTCTACTCCAACAATTGCTCCGCGAAAATATCATAAAAATGTTGTGTCCGCAACACTCACAACGCTTCCATAATTTTTCTGTTGAATGCCTTTTGGTATTAAACACCTTGTCTCACGTATTTAAGGGAACACTACTTTCATCACAGAATAATCTCCTTCCTCCGCTATTTACAAATAATGCGCCAATTCCAATTAGATCAGATATAGCTCAGAGGCAAAGCTGGGTCGAGCGTTCTAAATAACCGCTCGAGCGACGCGCGCTCTAATTGCCTCAAAAATGCTCGCGAGCATCAAGCTTGCCAGTTCTGAGCACTCCTAAAAGTGCTCGAGCGGTTTATCGTGAGCGCTCAGGAAAAGTGCTCGTGAACGGAAAAAAACGTTCAAGAGCGAAAAAGTTAATCCTTAATCCTTCAGAGTTTGAGGGCGGTTAAAAGCACTCGCGATCGAAAGAAAACGCTCAGGAGGAAATAGAGCTCGCGAGCGATAAAAGAGCTTGCGAGCGAAAAAAAAACGCTCGCGGAAAAGCAGCTCACGAGTAGAAAAAAGCGCTCGAGCGCCGAACACTTTTAAGTGAACGCTCGAATATCGAGCACCAAGCGGCCGCTTCGAAAAGTGCTCGCAAGCGCTTATTCCGCTTGGAGCACTTTTTCAAGCGAAACGCTCGCGAGCAGTACCCACCGCCTTGCAAATAAAAAACAATGTTTATTGTTTTTCCTATACCAATTATCTTCAATTCACATCCTTATTTAATGCTTATACCACAGATTAAATACAACAGATAGCCAACTGAATGCATTTTTCCCAAATGCAGCCCCAATACTACACTGTTGCCCTGGTAGCCTATTATTAGGATTGTATCATGTTAAATTAATTCACTTGAGCGTCTGTGCTAAAAGTATTACGTTATTTTTCTCCAATACGAGGTGGCACTATGGCAGTTTTACAAAGAAGGTTTCTGTTTCCTTAAAGCCAGCCATAACGCAAAGGGAATTATATACAGTGAATCACTTACGGTATCATATTACCTAGAATACATGCTACAGTCGCTTTTTATGAAGAATTAACCTTCAGTTTCTTTTTTTAATTACTATATAAATAAAGGTAGCTTTGTCAGGATATTACGAAAGTAATTTATTAGCCGATTTTGACGCTTGAACTGTCGGTTTTAATTAAATTAACTGTCAGTCGAGTTTCGTACAATTCGGGCATTTATGCCTAAATATTTCCATAAAAAAAGTAGTTTGTACAAAAGCACAAGACCAAGTATTTCCAATTTTGAACCATAACAAATTAATTTTCGTTGCTCTACTCCCTATTTCACTGTCACTACATTGTCTAGTTTTTCGATTATTGCAATGAAAATGCAAATAGTTTCAATGAAGAATTTATTTGCACTGTCTCCGAACTGCATCTTTGTAATCATAACTTTTAATTCCTTCACAGATTTTATATTCTATATTTATTCTCTATCTATTGACTATTATACCTTGATTTCCACGATAAAAATCGTATCTGTGGATGAACTGTGGTATTTCCAAATATGTAGGGACCTACCTACTAACCTACTTCTTGTTGTTAAAAATTTAATTCGACCATAATTACAAATTATAAACATTTTTAATTTTGGTATAAGTATCTAAAAAATGGAGTGCGTGCTCTTGACAAATTTCGTTTTCTTGATATAAGTATCTTGCACTTCAAAACCCATTCTATTTCTATTAAACACAGCTATACTACAGCAGGACCGCCGATAAGGGGGGCAAACCGGGTCCTGGAGCCCGTATGCAAAATTACGTCACATCGGCAGAAGGCGAGCGTTCATTTAGTCTACTACACTACTTTCTACAACACTACAGTACAAAATCTTTTACGATCGACTACGCTGAATTTTTCCGCGGGTGAAATCACGGAGGTTGAAAGGGGTGGAAACTGGTATTTTGCAATTTGTTGAATAAAGTTGGATGAAAGACATTTTCAGTAGGTTGGTCTTGTTCTACATTTTTATGTGGCACCGCTTCTTAAACGCATCGTACTGATGCTCATATAGTTTTTTGAACTTCCGTAGTATCAATTCTTCACCTACTTCGGCTGCTCTTTTATGAATATCAATACACCTTTATCACTCATGACCAATGGATTTTTCATTCCTTTGAAAAAGAGGTGTTTTTTTTCAGAAATCGTGAGATCTCGGAAACGGTTCAACTTCACGGGCCCAAAAATTATCTCCTTTTTTATCATAAAAAAAGCTATGTTTCCTCCAAATTTCAAACCCCTACGACTTTTTATCGCAAAAATAATATTAAAAACGAAAAAAACAGTTTTTCCGGTTTTTCTAGGAAAATTTGAGGTACTTATATGTGAAAATAGTGCAGATGCAAAAGTTGCTCATTTTAATCTCTATAACTTTTACATTGAACATTTTCGTCTAAAATTAATAGTTTTGCCACAATCTGCAAAACACCACTTTCCACCCCTTTCCACCCCCGGGATTTCATAGTCATAGTATGATTGACAAACAGAACACCGGACAGACGGTAACAATAGTTTTCTAGCTAGGGCTAGGAGAAAATGTTCTCTTGAACTCATGTAATGTAATCGTCATCAATGTAATGTAATCTGTGTATGGAGCAGTTTCGTGTTACAAAAGAAAGCATTACGCGCGTGTTTACTCAAACACCTGCCTCCGTATTGCATAGTACAAAATCTGGCTAATTTTGCAATAGCATTTGTTTCCTTTTTTACTAATTAAGTAGTTAGTTCGTACTTTGCAAAAAAAAAATATAAAAAACACAAACGAAAAAAACGTAATTTAGAATGGGAATTCAAGTTCAAGTTTAATCGCAAACTAGATTTTGATGTCGTGTGCGAAAACAAACCCGCCAGCATTATATATGTATATTTATATACCGCAGAAGCGAGTAAATAAAAATTCCTTGCGGGTTTGTAACCCTACTGTGTGTCATCTATAGTCGAATAAATAAAGTTTGTAAATTTAGTTGAACTGAATTAGAATGGCGTTATTTTATTTTGCAAATAGAGGGCGCGTTTAAGGATACCAAGGTATTTAAATTAAGGATATTTTATCCTTAATTTTGTTACAAATAAAATGCATTGAGGTGAGCTATCTGTTGTATTTAATCTGTGCTTATACTTTTATAACTTTAACTCACTTTCTGTTCTGCGAGTACTACTCTGCTATCTAGATGGACAATTGAGTAAAAAATCACATTTACGTAGGTCCACGATGGCGCAAAACGGCACCTGTGCAGTGAGTGTGGCAAAGGTTTTGCCAGATCCGATGACTTAACTAGACATTTACGGACGCATACGGGCGAGAAACCATTCGGGTGCAAATTATGCGGGAAGGCGTTTGCGCAGTCGTTTCGGCTATTGGAACATATGCGTGCGCACGCGAACGAGAAAGGTTTCATTTGTTCCGTGTGCGGAAAAGCGTTTTCTCGTTACACCAGTTTAGCAGCCCACAATAAAACTCACAGTGGAATAAAGAGTCACGCATGTGACGTTTGCGGTAAAAGGTAATTCTTGGTAATTATTACATTCATACTTCAAATTTAATCGGTATATTCTAAGAATAAAACATTAAGGGTTGGTGTTTCATTTAAAGTTAAATGTAGCCAACTTTGCATGTCAAATTAGAAACAAATGTATTCACATAGGTATGTATCTACACAAGTTTAACTGAAAGACCAGGCCTTAATGAGTGAAACAGGTACCTGTTATGTGTGGGTGGTTTATTGTTCATACTGTAAGGTTTTGTTATATAGCCGAACGTAATACTACCAAAACGTGAGTAGCTGCATGAAATTTCTCTTCAAAATACTACTAAACAAAATCTGCAACATAACTAGTTCTAGTTGAAAATTGGGAGAACGAAGTAGTTATTGGAAGGATTTGTGTAGACAACTCAAGATTTAAAATCAAAAGTTTTCCTCGCAAACTTAACCCAATGGCTCATGATAGTTTAGACAAAGCTACCTAACCTGCACAACCAAATATTAGGATCACTTACTATGTTGTCTTTTAAAAAGTCGCTAGAAGATATCTGTTGCCAGTTGCAGCGAGGATCAAGTAAGGTACACAAGTAAAACGAGTACATGTTTTAAAAATGGAAAATTAATTAGAATAAATTACATTGCAATCATAAAAGCACAAAATATAAATAGGCTGGGAAAAAAAGAACTGGCCAAGAAAAAACCAGCTAACAAATTAATGGTAGACTTCATAGCAAATTTAATTGTTTTTAAAGACAAACCATTGAATGCTGTCTTTCATACAGAAAAATTTTGTGTACAGTCGTTACTTATCGAAATTATACTATATTCCATACATAATGGGCACCCTGTATGTTATTAGCCTTGAACTTGGAATCTTGAATATTAAATCTGGACCTCCAGATCTTGATTCTTCAAACCTTCTCCAATCTGAATCTGAATTCACTGCCTCGATTCATAAATTCTGACCGGCACGTCTTGAGCCTTGAACTCGGAATCTGAATATTAAGTCTGGACCTCCAGACCTTGAGTCTTCGAACCGTCTCCAATCTGAATCTGAATTCACTGAAACTTAAGCCTCGAGTTCTGAACCTCGATTCATAAATGATGACCGGCAAGTCTTGCGCCATGACACATGAGCCTTGAACTCGGAATCTTGAATATTAAATCTGTTATTAATGGTATGGATTTAATGGAGTTACATTAGATATGACTAGAGAGGTACTACACTATACTAAAATTAATAATTTGTAGATTATGTGGATCAGGTTCATTAGCAATGCACATGAAAACACACACAGGACTTAAAGATCACATATGTCCATACTGCGGCAAAGGCTTCACAACTCCCAGCAATCTTATTATTCATAAACGTACGCACACAGGTACGCAATTTGCCTTACATTTTGTATGTATGTACTGTCACAATGTGTTTCAGGTGAACGTCCTTACATCTGCACAGTGTGTGGGAAAGGTTTCCCCGATCCGTCACGACTGACTGTCCATTCAAGATCACACAGCGGCGTAAAACCTTACGTATGTTCGGTCTGCGGTCGCGGGTGTGTCAGTTCCTCACAGTTAAAGAAGCACATGCGTATTCATACGGGAGAAAAACCATATCAGTGCAATCTGTGTCCCAAAGCATTCCCTCGCAGCGAAGATTTACGGATTCACATTAAAACGCATACGGGCGATCGCAGTCACGTTTGCGGCGTTTGTAAAAAAGGATTCTATCAAGCGTCCACATTAAAAGTTCATCTGCGTATTCACACCGGCGAAAAACCGTACACATGTCAAATTTGCGATAAATCGTTTTCACAAACAGGCCCCCTCTCTACTCATATGAAGACTCACTAGCTCAATAGATTCATACAGTTACTACAGTATTTTATGCTCTTAATTAATTTCACCTCTTACATTTCATATATAACTATAACTGAATTTTGCAATAAAGCATATCTGATCGTAAATGTAGTAAAGCTAAAAAGTACATGAAAATGTCCCAACCATTTGCACTAAAGACAAAGAACCTCAAATGCAAGTTATGTCTGAAATGTGAGTTTGACTTTTTAAAGAAATTGCATTTTACATCTGCGTAATTAATATTTGCTGCAGAAAAATCAATATATTGTTTAAATTGTTCTTGATTTATTTATTATACTAAATATTTCACATTGAAATGTAAAATTTATTCAAATGTGTCCTTGGATTACAATAAATGATGTCCTTTTAACAATTTTCTTTGAGATTGTTTGCTTTTTCAAAAGTCTTCGTGCAAGTTTAGTGTTGGTAAATAAACAAGCCGCTGTCCACTGGTAAAAAATTATTGTTTTTAAATTGTGAATGATTTCTGAACATATCCTTTGAAATATAAATTTTTTAAATAGTCCATTGAAGGCAAAATACAGTGATGCCATATAATTTTACGAAACAGCACAGTTTTTCACAAAAAGCTTAGGTTCTACTTACCTACCCTCTACTTTGCAGTTTACCCTATACCAGGGGTGGATCTACTCTGGTGGCGAATGCCACTTCGCGAGGGTACCAACTTCCGTTTTATAAAGTTTTTTTCTGAAAATTTACAAATTATAATAACTAAATCAAAGTAAACGAGAACTCCAGGAACCGGACGAATTCAATAAATGGCGGCGGGCACTCGGACAAAGTAAAACCAAATTACGGTAAACTCCCTAGCGGGTATGAAAGCAACAAAATGCGAATTAATTAGTGGTGTCTACGGGAAAGTAAATCCAGGAAAGTGAAACAATTTCCCCTCTTATAATTAATCGAACAGGAAGTATCAAAAAGCTTACCTTGCAATAAAACGGAGCGGTAGAAATTACTGTGCAAGACAAAGCAAAAATTAAACTGTATGAATTCAAAATGTAGTTACGGTACAGGTCAAAATTATGGTAGGTACTTACGAAATGTAACTGGCGAGGATGCAAAAGGTATCAAAGATTCCCTCTAAACATCAATGGCTGTACCTTTTATCTTCAACTCTTCAAGGCGGAAAATGAGTGCTTTGGTACAGTTGAAACTGATTACTTACAGAAGCACAAAAATAGCGTAGGTACATATCATATTATCCCTTGATATATACTATTTCATTTCAGTTAAAAGTGCACACCAAAATCAAATTGCAGCAACGCTATATACAATAAAAGGCCACCGACATGGAAACCCCTTCAAAACCAAATACAAATTACCATTTTAAGGCTGCAGTATATTATAGCATTGAATAATAATTATTATTCAATGATTATAGGAATTAATTTCTAGGCAAAACAGAAGAGTGGAACGGAAAAAATTTTCGATTTTCAACCTTACGTAGATACGTATAGAATAGGGAGTGTCCCCTCTGGTGACAAATAGCAAACATATATCTTAGATTTTGAAATTGGAGAATCGTGCAACTAGGAGTTGCAACTAGGGATGGGCGATAACTGTTTTCACCTATCGATAAGTATCGGGTACTTACCTATCGATATATTTTACTTATCGATATGCCGATAATCGATAGTTATCGATATATCGATAGTTATCGATATATCGATAGTTATCGATATGTCGATAGTTATCGATATAACGATAGTTATCGATATTTCGATAGTTATCGATATTTCGATAGTTATCGATATTTCGATAGTTATCGATATATCGATAGTTATCGATATATGATTACTATCGATATGTCGATAGTTATCGATATATCGATATGTCGATAGTTATCGATATATCGATATGTCGATAGTTATCGATATATCGATATGTCGATAGTTATCGATAGTTATCGATATGTCGATAGTTATCGCTAGGGATGGGCGATAACTGTTTTCACCTATCGATATAAGTATCGGGTACTTACCCATCGATATATTTTACTTATCGATATGCCGATAATTATCGAAATATCGATGGTTATCGATACACCGATAACTATCGAAAGATCGATAACTGCCGCTATATCGATAAGTTTCGGTATATCGATAGTTCTCGTTATGGCGATAGTTTTTAATATATAGGTATCGATATAATATTACCGATAATTTTTTTGAAAGCGTGTCTAAAAACTGCATGAGTTTACTTTTATATTTTGGCGAAAGAGCCCGACAAGACAAGAGGGCTCTTTTAACAAAATATGAAAATAACCCAATGCAGTTCTTGCAACTTTAATGGAGTTACCATATTAAATGTGCAATTATCGCAGGGCTCTTTAGCTTTCTACAATGCAATTACCGCTGTAATTAAGCGGTAATTGCACGCCTCATTTGAGAGAAATATTCGACGTATCGATAGTTATCGACAGGGATAGTTATCTTATCGAGTTTTATTAATAAAATCCATTTTCCGGTTTATTCTCGTGTAAAGTGACTATTAATAGTTACTCGACGTTTCTTTGCTACCTTTATCAAGAGTTTTTTTGTTAGATTTCGTAAATGTCAATCAATTGAAACTGTATATCTAAATTTGAAGTGTTCTTAGCTTTTTCTGTTTTTTTGTGACTGGTCCTCTGTAACCATCAATCAGGTACCGATACATAGGCCATGATTACACCCTTTGATTGTCTTCTTTATTTTATCTAAAGAGTAGCCATTTTGATGCAACATTTTGTTCAAGTTTTTGAAGTGCTTCTTTTTTTGAGCAATCGTCAGTAAGACGAAAAGATCTATTTTCTAAAGATTTTATTACTGCGTTTATTTGGCATGGATGATGATGTGACGTAGCGCTTCTCTTGAGAAAGGGAGCAAAGTTAAGTTTCCGAAACGTCGAGCAACTAAAAATAGTAAATTTACACGAGAGTAAACCCGAAAATGGATTTTATTAATAAAAATAGTAGCGCTCGTTGAAATCTCAACAATAACATAATTTTATCGTAAGTTATCGACATATCGATATATCAATAGTTATCGACATATCGATATATCGATAGTTATCGACATATCGTATATCGATAGTTATCGACATATCGATAGTTATCGACATATCGATAGTTATCGACATATCGATAGTTATCGACATATCGATATATCGATAGTTATCGACATATCGATATATCAATAGTTATCGACATATCATATCGATAGATATCGACATATCGATAGATATCGACATATCGATATATCGATAGTTATCGACATATCGATAGTTATCGACATATCGATAGGTATCGATATATCGATACTTATCAATAAGTATCGATATATCGATAGTTATCGATATATCGATTTTTTTAGCTCTACCTATTGTTATTCGATATATCGATAACTATCGATACCTATCGATATATCGAAAAAAATTCCCATGCCTAGTTGCAACAGATACTTAGGTTTTAACTCATAAAATGAAGTTTCTGCCGCAAAACCGCAAAACTAATTTTTTTGTCCGCAAAGAAAGTAGTTAACCATGACGGCTAGCTCTCTAACATGAATTTTACGGTAATGATTTTAGTGAAAATTTCTTTTCCCTTTTTATCTCACAATCAAATTTGAAACTTTCTTTTCTAAATAGTTTGCTTGCAGATAGTAAATACGAAATTAGCATTAAAAAAATGTATTAAAGAGGTATCCACGTCACTTTACATGTTTCTCTATTTACAAAACTTTTACGAGTTCGTACAAAATGATCCTAATTCATGGCACGTTCTTTTATAACCACCCTCATTTCAATATCAACGACAGTAAGCTTAGGTACTTATTTATATTTTTCCACACAAACAAAATAAACCTTATGGCTAACAAAATTGAACTCACTTGCATGGAGATTCTCAATGACTGAAACACACAGACTGATACCACAGCTTACTGATAAGCTGTGCTGATACCTTGTAAGACCTCATTCCTCTCCAAATGCGTTAGTTACTAACTTTTGCAAATTTCCAACTGCCACTGTTTTGAATTGTTCTGAACACTAACTTCCAAACGGGATAAATTTTCACTAAATTAAAACTTGTCAGCCTCATTTTTTATTGACATGGTGAAAAATTTACGTGACTCTCATACGTGGTTCGAACCCGAATTAGACGAGCTATTCTATAGCCCAAAACCGAATGCCATATAGGTACGTACAGTTAGTGACATATAAAAAAACTATTATGTTGGATCATACACTTAACGATCGAGTGGCCCCACATCGAATAAGTTACAACCTCTAATCTCTTGAATAATTTCTACTCTTTTCCACTTGACGTGATTTAACCTCAATGCCGAATTATTTGTTTGATACCGTTAACTTTTATTGTTTTGAAATCGGTTTCATGTTTAGTGTAAATGTTTGCTAAACCCCAACCTATAGATTCATATTTTTGATCATTCTTTTAAACATATATGAATAATTATTGAATATTATGTTTGCAGATTGATGTGTGTATGGATGTGTTGTTTCTAAAATAACACTTTTTTTTTCAACTATAGGCTGCCAACTCCGACAACAAGGGCTCATATATTGTAACCTATTCCAGGAGTGAAACTCTGCTAACACAAAAACTGTTGTACAGCTACGTTTTTTTGTTACCTGCTTGTACTTTAATCAGTTCTTGTTTTGCAATTTGCTTTTAGCCTCGTTTTTATAGCATGCTTTGTGTATGGTGGTTTATATTTATTTATTTATTTTATACTTTATTAATAAGCAATTGGAGCAAATTATCTTACACATTGATAACATTTTTACTACAGAACCGGAACCTATAATTCATTTTGGTTCGAACTCCTCACGTAAACCTCATTATGATAGTCTTATCTACTCTCAAGGCCAGACAGACTGACACCAACAACCTCCGAACATTAAACGGTTACAAGTAACAACGCATATAGAATCAATAATGATGCGGTAAAATAAAGATCGCCAATTTGATAAGGATTAACCTAGACTTTTCAAAATCTATAGTTACCAAGATTTTAGAATGGTAGTAGATAAGGGTCACTTGTGCCAGACAGTAAGGTTCAGGCGCACGTATCAGAGTCGCGCTTACGCAGCTATCTCGGCATTGGATAGTTTTCGATTTACTTCCTCTCTCCTATTTAACGTGGAGACTACGATTGAAATTAAATCTTCTACCGTGATGTTATGTCCTGCGGAAGCCAACCCTAGTGCCTCGCTCGCACTTCCAGCAGCCATTCCGCTCCCGACATCTGCTTCACGATCGTCACCAATCATATCTTCAGTATCTTCTTTATCCCACTTCTGATAACTGTTATCTCTCCTCTAACAAACACTCACAAAATACCTAACTTCTTTATTAAATGAAACCATTCAGAACATTACATCTTTTAGTGACTTGCGGTGTCTTGACAATTGCGCATGCGCCAAGTTCAAGATCATTCAATTTGGTTCCGTTTGTGCCTTTACCAAAATTTCAGCTTATGGTACTTTTCAATAAAAATGGCAGAGAAAGTTATCCAGAAACTAACCCCAAAAATATGGGCTTTCAAACAATTTGTTAATTTAACAAAAACAAAATACCTAAAAATACAAAGAATATCACTTTTAATACTTATACATAATACTTTCAGTTTACACATACTGCCCGCCCTACCACTAAATGTATCTCATAAATAGACAGTGTTATACAGATAATCGAGATCTTCATAATAAGATGAATTGAAATTAGAATCGACCTTCTGGATTGATTGAACAGCACAATTGCGCTTAGTAAGATATTCGTTTAACTTCCCAATTAGTTCCACCTGAAATTTTCAATTTGTCAAATTTGCAGGAAGGAGATTATCTTACAGTGTCTCCCAGTGCGAAATCTTTATAGGGTATAAACTCCTTAAATTGTGCTTTCGTGTTTTGCAACATCATTAGGCATGCCTGTAAATGAAATCTGAGCTTGTCTCACAATTTTTTACGTTCTATGCTTTACTCTGTGCATTGGATTGGATTCTCGTTGGAGAAGCTGTGTGTTATCTTCGATTAATTCTAGAGTTTTGCTTCGCAGCTCTTCTAATGGGGTATTTTTGAATAAAAAACAATCAAGAGTACCAGTACCATCATCAACTAAAGAATCACTTCTAAGAGGCACATTTATTGTCAGAATGCTCACCTGAAAAGGTATGAGTTCCATTTTTGATAAGATTCACGCTTGTTATGATACCTCTCACGTACACCTTTTTAAAAATCATTTGGCCCATGCAAAAATAATTTTCCTTTTCACTTGATAATTTAATTTTTGAATCGTCTAGAATATGACTTATGAAGAGTTTTAATATCCTTTTTTCTCTGTGTTTTTTCATTTTCATTTCTTGTACTTGATATTTACTCGTCAGGACCTCTGTTTCCGCCGGAATCTCATCATCTAGAAAAAACAACATTAATATTTTATTGTAAAGCCTTTTAATTCAAAATATTTTTGCAAAAAAACGGTGCGGCGATTATTCGGTCTGACAGATAGGATAAACAACATGAATTCGTTTTGAGGGGTTAGATCACTAGACTAATGTTTTGCATACATTGCCTAGTTTACCACCCTCTTGGGGCTCTTCATGGCATTCTAATTAAAGGTCTGAATGGAAGGATCTGTTTTCTACCAACAACTGCCCTTCCCCCTTATTCCTTATCGAAATCTCAGGTTGGATGGAGAACTGCTTTTATCCTTCTTTAATAGGTCTCTCCGAAACGAATTCATTTTTACTAACCAGTGCTTTACTCCTCGACCCCACATCGTAATGGATTATGATTCCTCATATTTCAAGAACAGTGTCGAAGAAGGGTACTCACAAAGAGCCATTGGAACGACTGGTGGAAACGAAATAAATATATATACATTGGTGATGCCAACACATAAAGTGCAAATGTCTTGAAAACAGTGTCGCAAGACAGCACTCATAAACATATCCATTGGTGAGGCAAAAAACGAAGTGTCAAAGGAGAGTACTCACACAGGGCAGTTGGAATGTCTGGACAAGATACATATATCTACTCGCGATGTAAAAACTTAAGTATGCATATATCTCGAAAATGAAATGTGAAGGTATCTAGAAAGGGAAAATACAATTAAACGAAGAATTTCGTTAAGAGTTTGATTATTCTTGCACTATATAACGTAGATTTTGAATGTGTGTCAGGCGAGGTTTGAATGTTTAGAATTATAGCATAAAAAAATTCGCTTTATCTGCACAAGAGTTGTGCACAATTTATATTTGTTTTTTTTTATAAGATAGATCTCAGAATTCTATGCCGGAAGGTTTTTTCAGCTATTGAGGCTGCCCAGAACTCTATTTGAAACACCAAAAGCAAGAATCCTGTAAAACACAAGTAAAAACTTTCAAAATGAGTCTCTCCAAAATTTTAATCAGAACTCAAAAATATTACCAAGAAACAGACAACGAATTAGTTCATAAAAATGCTGTTTGTATTGTTCGGAACTCGAAAGACACACTCTCACTATCATAATCGATGCTTGCACGCCGTGAATCATTTCTGATCGAAATAAATTTATCGTTAGATCTATTATTATGGGATGTTACATTTTTTTTCAGTGGATGAAATGTAACACCTGAAATTGGGACCAAATTTGATACAAATATGGCGTATTCGATTGTATTTGTTGTACTTATGTAGTACCATGTAAAATGCATAAATAAGGAAATATGTAAGTTTTATCTGCGCAGATGTTTTATAAAAAGGCGTTATCGGACAAGTCAATTGGCCTTATTTACTAACAACTTCACGGGCAAGATAACGAATGCGGGCGTTTGGAGTTCAAGCGATGTCAGTGGGAATAGTAAGCGATGCGGGGAAAAACGATATGGAACTTATGAATGTTGGTGGTTTTACCTTTAAATAGAAAAGCGTATACCATTTTTTTTTTATCGTACAGAGTTACGCGGGGTAGCAAAATTTTTGTAATGACAGTTATGGTAGTTCTGGTCAGTCTCTCAATAGTTCTGAAACTGAATTAAAAAGACATTTCAAATAGCACTGAAAATATTCAACAATTTTTTATACAAACTTTAAGGGCGGATTAGAATTTCGTACAAGCTCTGAATTTTTTTAATAGGGCTGATACTTCGTAATGGTGTTTCAGGTTGAAATACAATCTACCTATAATGGCTTTTTTTTACCTTTGCCGTTGGAGACGAATTTGGTATTTTTGGTGGAATTTAAACATTATTCTGTATAAAGTGTCAATGGCTCTTCAAAACCACATATAATGAGCTTTTGCATTTAACACTAAAATATAAAATCCTTTATATTTACTATTTTATGCGTTTTTTAAACATAAGAAATATAGTCGACATTTTTTGAGAAAATTATCACATTTCTTGAACACTTCTAATAGCCATAAATTCAATGCCCTCTATTTGCACTGGTTTCCCACAGACCCATTAATGGACTTGGGTAGTTCTCGAGCACCCTGTAGGTATTTCATTATGCATAGTTTACCTTGTAGTTTACAATATTCTCCATTATCCTGTTGTTTAACGTCTGCAAAGGAAGCTGGGGGCTCAATACATTCATGAGGTCCTGAGCTATAGCCCAAAAGGCCTGTACATGGAGCCACTCCTGACGAAAGTTCCATTTTTACTACTTTCCAGAAATAGTGATCTTCATTTGTAGTACGTTACACGGCGCAAATAATAGTAAGCCACTACAACAAAAGCTAAAATGTAGGTCCCACAAAACAACCGAATGGAAAGAAGTTGTCCACTTTCACGGGAGGAACAGAGGCCTTCGCCGCTGTCTAATCTTACTTCATGTATTTTGGGGACTGAGTAATTAAGACAACTTACTTTGAATTAAACTGTGCGTATATTACTTAGACAATTATTTTCCAGGTCCATTCTGATGCGAAGGTGACTAAAACAATTAAAAATAATTCCAATTTTGCAAACAGTATAAGTAGTTAATGGAGTATGTACTATAACTTACCTACCACTTATAAATAGTTTAATAGACTGACAATATTTTTGATATCACATACAGACATGACATTTTAATAACAATAAAACATTAAAAGCAGTAAATAATCATAGTCGATAAGGCCACGGTAAGGAAAAAATAGAATAATCAATAAGAGGTTATGAATTCATAAATTGAGATTGAAAAACATTTGTATTACAGAAATTCTCTGATAAGAAATAGTTTACTTCTACTTAAATCTAATTTAGTGATATTGCTATTCAAACAGAGAGGACGCTGTGTAACGGTTAATTAGACATTTACTTCCTCCAAGTAATAGATGGAGATACCAACAACAGAACTATCATTTAATTTTACGGGTAAAAACACTATATCATTTAGATGCAATGCAAATAAACCACCAAGGTTCAAGAGAAGTAAATGACTCATTTACGCGGTTCGTGTATAAAATGAACAATAGGAACGTATTAAGGGGCAGAACGATAGTACAACCGGCTTAACTACGTTGGTAATTTTTGGCATGGTTCGGCCATATTAAATTCAATGGCCATATTAATGGCAGTTTCTAATGGTGGGTTTATACAATCATTATCATTAGTTCACTAAGATCAGGATGGTTTCGTTGGTTAGCAACCTTTGTTTCTATTGGCTATTTCTTAATGATGTGTGATAGTGAACTAATGTTTAGTACATGGACGAGGTTACCTAAAATTGACGTTTAATGAACGAAGTGTGCTATATGGGTACGAAACAACCATGCAAGCTATTCGCGAGAAAAATAGTTTTTCCAATTTTGCGAAATGTTACGGTAGCTGCTGCGCGGGGGGGGGGGGGGGGGAGATACGGCATTCACTGCTTTCATGAATAAACGTACCCGGAATAGAATGCAACCGTGACTGTGGTAAGATTGTTAGCGCATTTTTGTAAAACTCAAAAAAATGTGCTATTGCTTGCGTTTTGTCCGTCCGTTCGTCCGGACCCCGTTTCGAACTACTTCTAGTGGAATGGTCCTAGAGTCCTGGAAGTATGTAGCCTATACCTTGAAGGTGTGCCAGGCGCCAGACGGCCATCAAATTGTGTTGTCTAAAAGCCCCCCCCCCCCACGAAAACGTGCATTGGTCTGCCTTTAGTGGTGCCCGAGGGGGGGGGGTTAAACATATGTTCTGCCCCTCATGGTATTCTAATGAAAGGTCTCATCGAAATAAATTGGTTTGTACAAACTATAATTTTCCCGTGCGACTCTTTTTCTACATCAGTGAGCGACGGGGCCTGAGGGGGGGGGGGGGTTAAAAATTAATGTTGTCTCTCATTGTTTTCTAATTAAAGGTCTCAACGAAAGGAATCGTTTTCTACCAACTACTTCCCTTCTTTCTGTTCTCTTATCAAACAGTACGAGGTGGAGGGGGGGGAGGGGTGGAACTAGTTTTACCCTTCATGGTACTCTAATGAAAGGTATTAATTTCTACCAACCATAGCCTTCCTCCTCGACCTCTTATCGTGATCGATACCTTATACCTCAAGAACCTCAAGAAAAGAGTTGTGCACAATTTATACTTGTTTATCAATGGGCTAGGCTAGGTCGCATATACACGTTTTTATATCAATTTGATAAACACAGTATGTGTACAATAAAGACCGTAGCAAATTGTCATTTCTGTGATAGAATCGACGCGCGACTTCACACCGGCAAATATTCAATAGCCAGACTTTATCTAAGTCACAAACCGCAACCTCATGCACTGTAACATAGTGCTAACATCCAATATACCTACCTATTTTATTTAGTTGTTCTACTATTAGTATAGTGTTGAAAATGTGGGTAAATTACTAACAGTTGTACTTGTAGACGATGTAATTTATAAATAATAGAGCATTTACGACGGAACTATTTCGTTTGTGTTCTCGTTCCCCAAGCGCATTATCATAAATTAAATCAAATAAAAATCGACAGCTTGAATTAAGAATAGACCGAACTTGCTTCTTAATCCTCGAGGGTACCCTTTACCGGCAATCCACTGAGGGTAAATGTAGAATCGTAGACCCGCAAACGTGAAACTTAATTGAATTTTTTACTAAGTAAAATTGAGTCGTTTCAGTCGAAATCTATCAGTGTTTTAATGCCCATTTCGATCTGACTGTACCTAAGCGTTAAATGCATAATGTATGTAAGCAATTGATGTGTAGAAGTGTAGAGGTAGGTACATAAATTCGAACAATTTCAGAATTTGTATTGTGTTTTTTTAGTGTTCAAAACCATTGATTGTAGCTGTTCTAAGTTTGAATCTGCCATTCAATTCAAGATGCAATGACCGACCTTGTCCAAAATCAATAATATTTCAAAAGAGCGCCCATTATGTATGGAATATAGTATACAGGGTGACAATTTGGAAACTTACCACCCCCCATATCTTAGTAAATAATCGAGATATTTAAAAAAATCAAAATCCGTTTCGGTAATTCGGAGGGGGAATCACAATGACGTAGTTGGCGACGCACCCCCTCACACCCCCTGCGCCCTAGCCACCCCAACTTTTAAATCTTAAATAGTGACTCCCCATGTGTGATACGTCATTGGAAAGCTCTGAAAAAATGCTTTCCAACCATACCAAATAGCATTACATTTAGGTTAGTAATTATCGTGCAAATCAAAAAATAAACATGGAAAATCGTATTTAACTTGAACTTCCAAAGCCGACTCGACAGCAACTCATTTTTGATCGCCAGTTATAATCTATTCTCAAACTCTTGTCGAACCTTTCCAATGTTGGTTTTGCAATATTTCGACATTCTTGAATTATTCTCTGTCTTAGTTCGTCTATGTTCGCCGGTTGCGTTTTAAATACGACAGATTTCAAATGTATCATATTAGCTTATTTTTTGATTTGCACGATAATTACTAACCTAAATGTAATGCTATTTGGTATGGTTGGAAAGCATTTTTTCAGAGCTTTCCAACAACGTACACACATGGGGGGTCACTATTTAAGATTTAAAAGTTGGGGTGGCTGGGGCGCAGGGGGTTGGAGGGGGTGCGTCGCAAACTATGTCATTGTGATTCCCCCTCCGAATTACCGAAACGGATTTTGATTTTTTTAAATATCTCGTTTATTTACTAAGACATGGGGGGTGGTAAGTTTTCAAATTGTCACCCTGTATATTATTTCGATAGGTAAATATCGACTGTATACATAAATTTTCTGTATGACAGTTGTTTAACACTTTTTCCCATAATAAGGCAGTATTCAGTTGTTTTTATTTCAGAAAACAAATGAATAACGAAAAACAATTGAATTTTTTTAAATAGCTATGCACACTTTTATTAGGCTCACATAATACGTTAGCACCCGTGTACAAGAAATTAATTTTATTTCAAGCTTTTGGTGGTAGGGTATGCCACTGAAGATTTTGAACATTCATTGCGAGAACACCATTTTTTACTGTTGTTTTATTTTGATGTAGATGTAGAGGATATCTGGATTAATGTTATTGATCTAATTATAATAATTTTTTTGGAACAATTTTCTAGAATAAGGGTACTTACATGTTATATCATCAAAAAGAGAAAAAAAATCTCTATGAAACGAGCCTAATGAAAAGGTGCACTGCTATTTAAAAAAATGCAATTGTCGTTCGTTACTCATTTGTTTTCTGAAACAAAAACAACTGAATGCTGCCTTATTAAGGGAAATAAAATGTTAAACAGCTTCATACAGAAAAAATTTGTATACCTACGTTCGATATTTACAGAGATGTTTACTATATTCCATACATAATGGGCACCCTGTATATAAAATATATTTACCACGGGTGGGTGAGATTTGCTGATACGCAGGGTCGGACTATATATTTTGCGCTTATAATGGGCCCCTCGAAATCGCCGTCTCTTCTCCCTTCCCGCCCCCCAACCAATTAAAAGCATTTTATACCCCAACCAAAATTATATTTCACTCTTTACAGAAAAGCGTTAATACAATTTTCTTTTTCCTAATTTGTAGTAGTAGTAAAAATATTTTTTATATTAATTATCAGATTTATAAAGTGTTAAAGTGTATAATATCTGTTGTTAGAATTATATAACTGTTTAATTTTTAGAGAAATTTACTCCTCTTTTATTAATATTTCCGCATTATTTCATCAACAGGTGGTGATCATGGGGCTATATCTAATTTTACTTTTATAAGAATATACGTTATTACGTAATATTTACAATGTGAAATTCAAAAGTGGTTTCCCAAAACTTTTTTACCGCCTCTACAAATTTTCCGCTATGGGCCCGGGCCTACACAAGGCCCCATGGTAAAGCCGGGTCTGCTGATAGTTGATACGTCATTACATTGATCCACCACTGCTTCTAAACAACCGACATTTGTCACGTTACCAACTTTATAAATGTTTTGTTTTGCGGGAAATTTAAACTGTCCGCAATCATTTCCGATCACCCGGTAAACTTAGTTGTAATAGGTATATTGAGGAATATATTTACCTACCTAATTAGAGCATCAGTCAACCTCGGCTAAAACCCACAACCAAAACTAACAATTGAAACGAGGTAATTTCGCCATACTGTGCGCGACCACCAAATTTTGAATTTAAACACATACTCGTAAAATATTACGCCTTTCTCTAATACTAAATGAAATATGCATAAGCTCTTAATTTATAACTCCTTTTTATCGTCCATTTTGTTTTTCGCAGGCGGCGACCACACGAAACGAAAAGGACAAGGTGACTGTATTTGCGACAAGTGTCAAATCAAGGCGCAACGCAGCTTTGACAATACAAAATTTATTTAAACGTGTGAGCTAATTGGAATTCTTAAATAATTTGAACGCGACGATCCAATTTTATTACCATTTATTGAATGAAGAGAAGTCGTACGATGAATTTAACAAGAAGGGGGTGTGAATACAAATTTGCAGGGTCTTAGATCACCCCTATACAGTCCTCGCTCCCTAGTGGTGGAATTTATAGAGTAATCGCTCCGAAACCAATTGAACTATCAATATGTATAAACTATTAACTACCTGCAATAACCATTCACAATCGACCTTTCCGCGACGGAAGATTTATTTATAAATAATTAACAGATGGCCCTTTCGCAGTTAACTAACGCAATTAGATTTATATCAGGTAATTCGTATGATACAATTTATATG